AATAAAATGTTTACCAAAAAAAAAAAACCCTGCATGTGGTAAAGAGTAACAAAATGGAATAGAGCAAATGGGAAAGTAGACAGAATCAGGATAATAAAAATGAGCTAGAAACTAAATTTAATTAATTTAATACATAAAATAAATTTTCTATCTCCAAACTAGACTGCCATATGTAGTCCAGACAGCATTGAAAGTTCCTGAATTAAAGTTGTGAATAGGGCTTCAATACTAATTTCAACTGAGAAAGTAGCCGTGCATTTATTAATCACTAAATGCCTGGCTTACTTATTTAACCCAGTCATCTGGTTTGGCAGAATGCCTTGTTACAGGAAGTATAAATATACCAGGCTAAAATAAAGTATGTTTTGTGAACACATACAAAAAGCTAGTAGTAATAGTAGTGGTAGTGGAAGTAGTAGTAGTAATAACAACAAGTAGTAATAGTAGTAGCAGGAAGAAGAAGAAGAAGAAGAAGAAGAAGAAGAAGAAGAAGAAGAAGAAGAAGAAGAAGAAGAAGAAGAAGAAGAAGAAGAAGAAGAAGAAGAAGAAGAAGAAGAAGAAGAAGAAGAAGAACAACAACAACAACAACAACAACAACAACAACAACAACAACGAGTTGGAAGAGACCTGGGAAGTCTAGTAGTAGTAGTAAAGTTGGAGGTCTTCTAGTCCAACCTCCTGCTCAGGCAGGAAACCCTATAACATTTGTATATAACAAAGATGTTGAGACTCTATAACAAAGATGTTGAGACTCTAGAAAGAGTACAGAGAAGAGCAACAAAGATGATTAGGGGACTGGAGGCTAAAACATATAAGGAACGGTTGCGAGAATTGGGTATGTCTAGTTTAACGAAGAGAAGGACAAGGGGGGACATGATAGCAGTATTCCAAGATCTCAGGGGCTGCCATAAAGAAGAGGGAATTAAGCTATTTTCCAAAGCACCTGAAGGCAGGACAAGAAGCAACAGGTGGAAACTAATCAAGGAGAGAAGCAACCTAGAACTAGGAGAAACTTCCTGACAGTGAGAACAATTAATCAGTGGAACAGCTTGCCTCCAGAAGCAGTAAATGCTCCAACACTGGAAGTTTTTAAGAAGAGACTGGACAGCCATTTGTCCGAAATGGTGTACGGTTTCCTGCCCGAGCAGAGGGTTGGACTAGATGACCTCCAAGGTCCCTTCCAACTTTACTATTATTATTATTATTATTATTATTATTATTATTATTATTATTATTATTATTATTATTATTTCAGACAAATGGTTGTCCAATCTATTCTTTAAAGCTGCCAGTGTTGAAACATCTACAACTTCCATTGATTATTTGTTCTACCTGTCAGGAAATTTCTCCTTAGTTCTAGGTTGTTTCTCTTTTTGGTTAGTTTCCATCCATTGCTTCTTGTTCTGCCTTCAGGTGCTTGACACTCTCTTCTTTGTGGCAACCCCTGAGATATTGAAACACTGCTATCATGTCAGCCCTATCCTTCTTTTTATTAAACCAATCATACCCAGGATTAGCCTCCGGTCCCCTAATCATCTTTGTTGCTCTTCTCTTTACTTTTTCTAGAGTCTCAACATCTTTTTTACATAGTGGTGACCAAAACTGGATGCAGTATTCCAAGTGTGCCTTGCCAAGGCATTGTAAAGTGGTATTAACATTTCATGTGATCTTGATTCTACCCCTTTGTTAATGCAGCCTAGCACTGTGTTGGCTTTTTTGTAGCTGCAGCACACAGTATTAGTAGAGGTAGGGAATTAATATCAGTTCTTCTAAACACCTAGTTTGTTTTGAGGAAATAACGTAAAAGATATCTGCAAACAAACGAATATGGAAAGAAAATTCCTAGGTTTCCCCTTGCTATTTATATACACGGTAGTTTCATTAAAATTATACTCTGAAAACATTAATCGCTATGCAAAAAAAAAAACTGAAAAGAAAATATGGACATTTTGCTATGTTAGATAGCATGGTATATTTCAAGAAGAAATCACCTGGAGATTTATCATATTCCCTTCCCCTCGCCCATTCCCATACTTATCTCTCATATCCTAAGGCCAGGATCTCTGTTAGTCTCTTCTGCCAAAGGAATGATTCCACTTTATTAGAAGTGCTTACTGGACCATAAAGTAGCCATTCCTGCAGTTACTTTGGGATTTAAGATGGCCTATGAACTCAGACACCAGAGCTTATTCAGGAAAGAATTTTGCTCTTAGCATTTTCAAAAAAGTATTATAGTAAACTGAAGTAAACCATAGTATAGAATTGCAGCAATAAAGGGAGATACTGAAAAATACTGTTTGAATTTGAACATGTTAAGAGTGCAACATTCAGTACATTTTCTGGGTCTCATTTAAAAATTGTTAAAGCATGATTAAAAATCCAAAGAAGATAAAAATTGAAAGGATGCAGGATTTGAAAACAATGACAGAGATGTAACAATATGAACTTGTACACTGCTACAGTTTTGATTGCTAGAATTAATAATACATTTTCTAAAACACTTTAGATAACTGATTGGGTTTTTTCCATATATAGTCGTAATGCTATAAAGCTCAATATTTCTGAAAAATGAAGTTTACTAGAATGAAAATAATCTTAAAACTGAAATCGCATTTCAGCCTACCATAATTTTATTAAGCGTTATCAAAGCACATATTCCTATAAAGTATACTGATCTTAACTGTCATGCTAACTGCTGCAAGGATATTATATGCTTTTTATTGGAAACATTGATCTTGTCAGCGGAAGAATGGCTAATTAAATTGTAGGAATATATCTCATTAACTGCAATACTAGCATAGAATTCAAATTAAACAGAAAACCAATCCTGGATTACAATCTAATACAAGAACTGCAGATCCATATTTTTCATTTCTTTATGTATCAAGCTTATATTTTAATTTTTCAGATTATCAAGATTTTTATTATTATGGATTGAATTTATTATAGTCTATATTTTACTTGGTGATTTAGACTGTATTGTCATTCCTATGTTTAGAGTTTAGTAGTAACTTTTGTCTGTTAAAGAGATGGAATTCATTCAGTCATTTACAGCTAACTATACTATACCAGAAAATTATCACTCCATGACATCATTTGTCATGATCATTCATTTGTATTTTACTTTTTCTTCACCTTTCTTTTTAATAATAATTTTATTAGAGTTTTTTCTCATATATAAAATATAAAGTAAAATTCAATAAAAGAAAAAGTAAAGTAAAAAAGTGAGAAAATTATGAGGAAGAAAAGGCAAATAGAAACAAGACAATGTAAAAAAAGTGACTCTTAATTTCCTATGTAGCAGCTGGCAAGCAAATTTTCACAATTCCCTCTTTTAAATTACATCATATTTTTCTTCCTCTCATTGTTCAACCCTTTTTAATCAACAAATCCATAAATCACAAATGATATTTTTTCATTTTTAGCAAAAAAAAATTCATAAAACTTTTTTTGGTCTTTAATAAAAGTATTTGTTATCTTGTCTCTGATGAAAAATGTCAATTTTGTCATTTCAATTAATTCCATCATCAGGCTGGGACAGCTGAAAAGCATCCTTCCAAATAAAAACCCATATAGCATTCTTAGGAATAGAACAGTTGATCCCAGAAGAGAGGTTCCCAGGAGTCCTAATTAATGGGAAGGAATTCCAGGTATCACCTCCAACAGATAAATATGTCTATTTAAAGTCATAACTAAGCCCAACCACAATTGCATTGCACAAACAGTAGTTTATCTAAACATTCTATAGGGGAAAATTAATGGATTGTTTTGCGCCCATAAGAAGAAAGGAATTGGAGGAATTTTTGGATTTGGAGAAAAGATTGGACAGCCACTTCTCTCAAACTGTATAGGGTCTCCTGCTTGAGCATGGGGTTGGACTAGAAGACCTCCAAGGTCCCTTCCATTTTTATTGTGATTGATTGAACTGGTTTCTGCATTACTTTTGAAGCAAGATCATTTTTAATTTTCTGAAATTAGAGTACAATCTTGTATCTTCTTACATGGGAATTAGCTGCTCCGAATGTTGTCAGAAGTTGCTCACTTTTTAGTGACTTGCAGGGTAAAGGTGAATGCAACTGAGACTTTTGCTTATTTTAGAAATATTGGAGGTTTTCTTATACCCTCTTCAACTTTGGCTTTAATCACAACTGAAAAGTAAATATAAAGCCTTTTTAGAATTGTATTTTAGAAAGTCCTCCATAATTATATGGAGGTCTTGATTGATTGGATCTACACAAAGACTATGTCCTTAGTACTTGAAAAACATAAAGAGAAGAGAAGCAAAATAATCTTGTGTAATGTGCTAGGTGAGCCTTGCTGGAGTAACTTGCCTCCATTTCTGATTCCAAAACACTGTCAAGCATGGAATTTGTCTGAAATTACAACAAATAACTAAACAAACAAAAATAAGGCTATCTCTTGGTATTCACATTATTCCATAAAAATCTGGTAGCTATTCTCTGAAGAGAAAAGCTAATCTAATGGTTGAGTTGATCTTTGAACAGGGAGATTCATATTTAAGACCTAACTATGGATTTCACAAGTTATATTGACTCATTCAATCTGTTCTCAGTTCTGCTTACCTATAAGAGTGCTTGTTGTAGGAACAAAATGACTATTCCACTGTGAGATATAAATTCCATCCATACATGATGAATAAATGAATGGTAATTCTTGCCTGAATATTCAAGATTCTTTAAAACATACTTACCTCCTATTCACAGCCTGCCTCCCTGAATGACTTGGCCAATGTCAATAATTTAGCATCAGGGAATAGAAAACTGAAGCAAATCTTTTTAAAATTCAGTTCAATTATTCTCAATTCATAACTAATAGTCTAGAAATAAATGAGGGAAAATGATTTTTCCTGCTTAACACGTTTTTAAGTTGTCTCAAATAATACTGCTGTGGTTGACTTACTTTGAAATTGTATTAACAATTTAAACTACTTTAGAAAATATCACAGTGCCATTAAAAACAATAAAGTGTATGTTACTCACCCATTCTGTATAGTAGCTGCAGGGTCATAAGTCAAGGCCATGCCAGCCTGCACAGAAGAAAGAAATAAGATTACTCTTCTTGGGTTAAAAAAAATCATACTACGCCAGGAAAAATGAAAGGGATTAATAAGCTACTGTATGATCATTTGAGGAGATATTAAATAGAGAGCATTTTATAGCCTCCATTGTTGATATAAACTGGGCTGTGTGTATGTACAGAATTTTGTTCTGAAGGGAAATGAATATGATTGTGTATCTAATTTGTTCCTTAGCTATTTAAGTAAAATGGCTCTGAAAAATGCTCATTTTGGAAATTGAAAACAGCTTAATAGAAACACTTCAATAGAACAGCTTTAATAGAAACATTACCACGAAATGTAAGCCACAACTGACATAGCAAACCAGAAATCAGTGAAACCAGTATTCTCCAATCTGCCATCCAGATAATATTCCCAGAGTGTTCAGCCATCATAGTCAACTCTTCGTGTCATTGTAACCAAGTATCAATTTATCAAAACAAACAACAAAAAATTCCACAAACAAAAATCTGGCACTTTTTGTTTTGACAGTGCTGTGAATTAAGAAGCTTTGAAAGTCTGTGAAACCCAAGTAAATTATTTCTATTTTTTTCACCTCAAACACTTAGAAGTATCAAAATAAATTGCCTTATTAAGGAGGAAAAAGAAAAGTATCAAATGGATAACATGAGCAATGAATAGTGGGACTGTTCCCAAAGACTAATTCTTCAAATAAATTTGATGAATATAAAATGAAAGACCAACCAGAAATGATGTAAGTAAATAAGAGCCAGAATTACAAAATAAAACAAAACAAGTGGTGGACTGATACAGAGGAAAGAGAATATAAGGATATGATATAACTTTAAAAGTCATATGAAAAGAAATGTGGCAAGAAAAATTAAACCAACAGGCAAAAAGCACCTCCAAAGAAAAGCACTTTGAAAAGAAAACAATAGAGTCAATGATGCAAAAGAGAATTGTTGATGGGAAAGTTAATTTGGCACTATTGGCAATGAATCTTTCACTGATAATTTATGACAATTCTGACTGAAAAAATATTGTGGAATTAGAAAATCTATTTTTTAAAAAAAAATTAAAACAATAAATTTGGTAGGATACATTTCAAAATACAGCTGTATATTTAAAAAATAACTTGTTTTTATAATGAAGCATGCCAAGAAACATTTCTGTGTCCATGATATTCCTAATGTATGCTACAGACAAAGTATTTATTAAATGTGTGTAAGTAGGATATCTCTGAATATGCACTGATCCAAATAAAAAAATCCTGAACAATAAATTTGCTTCCATTACAAAATTTTATAATTTAATACCTATGAGGGAACTTTCTCCATTGATTAGTAAAAATGCTATATACCTATTGTTGAGTCATCAGGAAACAACAATAACAACAGAGTTGGAAGGGACCTTGGAGGCCTTCTAGTCAAACACCCTGCTCAGGCAAGAAACCCTATATCATTTCAAACAAATGGTTGTCCTGATATGCTAGTTCTGAAATTTAATATTGTTATTGCTGATCCATACCCTGCTTGAAATGTGAGTCATGAGACAAATGACAAAATTCTGGTCTTATTTTTTTCTGTTTATTTTTATTTTATTCAAGACAAGGTTGAAATACAAAACTCCAAAAAACCCACAGAAAGGACAAAAAAATACAACCTCCCACAAAAAATCAAGACATTAAAAAAGAAAACTGGTGCATCAAAAAAACCCAACACATATGCACATATTATCCCTCCTAACTGAATGCTGATTAATACATTACTATGACATTGGTTCCCACATGTTCCCCCCAATTTTTAAACTAATATGTCTATTTGCAAGTTATTGATGTCTTCTATATATTATATTAGTGAAAAAATAGTTAACAGGAAGAAGAATACTAAAAAAAAACAAATTTAAAGTTTCAAAACTCTCTTTTAATAAACTCTTATTGTAATCCACTATTAGAAAGTTTACCACAGCATTATTTATTTCAAATCATCCCCAAAATTAAAAATAGTTCATCCTGGATGAAATATACATGTCTTTTTCTTAATGCCATCTCATATCCATTTGTTGTCTAATTAAATAGATTCAGTCTCTATAATAAGTCTATCTTCCCATCAAAGTCCAAACAGAAGTGGTTTCTATTTAGGTGTAATAAATCCATCCAGTCTCCCTCAATCTTCATAGGAAAAAGAAATTTGTCTTTTCTCCATTCAATCAGAGTCCTAATATTGTAAGGGATAGGCAGGCTTAAACTTTAAAAAAACAGATGGAATGAACTCAGTTAGTTCTCCAACTGTGAGAATATGTCTTTGGTCTGGATAAAGTTTTTTTAGAGAGAAATGTTCTGCTAGAAGCTGCATACTACCCAATCGTCTTTTCTTAGGTTTCAGCCACTGTTCAAGCATTTCTGAATCTGTGAAACTTGATCAGGGAGCAAACAACACTGAAGCAGAAGGAAACTAAAGGAATGTTTTCTAAATGTTTCTGTATATTTCAATCAAAGGTAAAAAGAAAAATTCAAAAAAGATAAATTCCAAATATTTTGCAAATTCAAAAACTACAGAAATCTTTTGATGAGAGCCTAATGTTGAAATAAATCAAATGAAAGTTTTCACAGTCCAAAAACAAAACAATAAATTCAAAAAGTGACAGCCAAGATCCCAGGCATTGCTTAAGAAAATGAAACTGCTGACAGAAATATGTATATGCCCAGCGAATTTTCAATCATTTCCAAACAGAACTGGAATGTTCAAGACTCCCCTTTCCAACTGGATCCCCGGTCATCTAAAAATTGTCTTTGGTCATTCTTAGCGCTGTCATTCAAATCCAATGCTGCCAGAGAACCAGCATTGGCAGTAAAATCAGCAGATCATCCGTAAGGAAAAAGAAAAGTTCTTACCATGCAGCAGCCGTCTTCGGGAGCATAAATAGGTACTGTTCTGATCTTATGTGGCTGCTCTCCTTCCCTACATTGTGGGAAAGAAAGTCACCAAATATGGCAGTGCAACAAGAAGTGCAGCAAAAGAAGAATGGCATGAGATAGGGCTGACTTGGGATCAGAAGCAAAGGAAATGTGCTCACATCTTCTTGGAATTGGCAATAAACATTATTCTGATCTCACGTGCAACTGATTTTGCCCCCAAATAGGCCGAAATGTAACAGATTTAAAATTTTACGTCCCATAAAAATGTTTAATTTATTGTTTTAACTTTTGTCTAAGAAAGTAAAAAAAGTCTTTTAATTCCACTATTTTTTCCAATCAGATTTGCCATAAATTGTCAAATGAAAAATTCACTGCCAATAGTGCTAAATTAACTTTCTCATCAAGTAACACTTGATAGGAAAAAATAATTGATGGCTGCAGTGAGAAAACACTTTAATATCAGTACCTTTAAGAATTGATTAAATTTATCTCATTCATAGATAATAAATTTGTGGGACACTGAGCACCACAAGGGCATATTTGTATCATGATTAGATTTACATGGGGATGCACATGACCCGTGTTTTCATTTGCTTCTTGTTAGCAACTTAAAGATTAGCTTTGTTGCTTCTGGAGGCACTGTGGCAAATATTTTAAATATGGAAAATAAATATGACCACAGAGGTCTACTATTGTTTTCTTTTCTTTTTAGACACTCTAAAATAGCAATAATTGATGTCAAGTCCCTGGTTTGGGTGTAGGGTAAAGAGTGAAATTATATATTTTGCCTCATGCTATGCTAAATCATTTTCTATTTCTTGCATTAATTGAAATCTACTTGTTCATCCTCCCACACTGCATCAAAACAAAAAAATGTAGACAAGGAAGGAAGTTGGAAGAGAACAATCACAACAGATTAGGAGAAACTACAGTGTCTTTTGTTGTCAAGTTTATAAGTAGGTGCTTAATTATGTTGTTATTTATGTTATTTGTTTGATGTTGGTGATACTTGAAGACTCAAGGCCAATTCTGGGCATAATATGGCAAAACAAAATTAACAAATGCAAGATATAATAAATGCTGAACAAGATGAAAGTATGGACAGGCAACCTAAAAAAAATAAGAAAACCATCACCAACAAGGGGCTCCATCCATCCTAGTCCTGTGAGAACAATCAGATCTTTTAGTAGTAGTAGTAGTAGTAGTAGTAGTAGTAGTAGTAGTAATAATAATAATAATAATAATAATAATAATAATAATAATAATAATAATAATAATAATAAAGTTGGAAGGGACCTTGGAGGTCATCAAGTCCAACCCCCTGCTCAGGAAGGAAACCCTATACCATTTCAGACAAATGGCTGTCCAGTCTCTTCTTAAAAACTTCCAATGTTGGAGCATTCACTGGTTCTGGAGAAAGGTTGTTCCACTGGTTAATTGTTCTAACTGTCAGGAAGTTTCTCCTTAGTTCTAGGTTGCTTCTCTCCTTGATTAGTTTCCATTCGTTGCTTCTTGTCCTGCCTTCAGGTGCTTTGGAAAATAGCTTGACTCCTTCTTCTCTGTGGCAGCCCCTGAGATATTGGAAGACTGCTATCATGTCCTCCCTCATCCTTCTCTTCATTAAACTAGACATACCCAATTAGTGGGAACCTCATTCCAGGGGGTAAGTGCCACAACAGAGAAAATATGTTTCCTGGATTATTATATGTAACACTGTTTAATTGAAGGGTACAGAGTAGACCCACTCTGCTGGCTTATACCAGCCAGGCAGAAACCACAGGAAGTAAGTGATTTCTCAAATAACTGGTCCTATAGTAGAGCTTTATAGGTCATAACCAGCATCTTGAATGGCATCTGGAAACATACTGGTAGCTTGTGCAATTTTTGAAATAGTCATATAGGCAGATGACAAATCCACCACTGTCCACACGACTGCATTCCAAACCATATGAAGTTTCCACTTAGGGGCAGTCCCATGAAGATCACATTGCAATCCAGATATGAAGTCACAAGAGCATGAGTGATTGTCTGTAGGGCTTCCTTGTCTAGAAAGGAGTATAACTTGGATTTAACTAAAAAGTTAAAATTGGAAACAGTACAGCAGTTGTCTAAATCATTGTGTCCGGGGACACCTCTTGAGGATAGGATACATCACTATTTCTTTCCTGGCCAGGGATCCTCAAGGAGACCAATACAAGAATATGGACCCAACTACAGATCCTCTTTCCAGCTTCCTTAATGAACCAAGAATTCCTCTATCCAAAAAAAATAGGTTTCTGATCCAAAAGGTCATAGAATCCTATCCACTTGCTCAAGAATCACCAACTCAAACTAATCCCCAATTAAACCATCAAACATATACCTAGGGTGAATCTGTCTAGTAGAAATCTAGATCCAGATTGACACATGTCTGAGTAACTTTTTCTGCCAAACAACCAAATTATTCCTCATAGCAGCTCTGCACATACTCCTGTATCCTAACTAGTAGAGGCAAGTTAACTTAAATAGGGCTCCTTGACAGTCATTGTCAAGCATGATAAAATAGTCAGGCAGAGAAATACTGATATTTTGTTGCCTTCATCATACACTCCAGGTCTTCCTCCAATGGCACTACCAGAGTCTCTTCTGGCATTTCCTGAAATTCCTCCTTCAACAAGTGCCCCATATTTAGGCAAAATTACACATTGCACGGAGATTATGCCATCCTAGGGTCCAACCACCCACTCATTCCAGGCAATAACCATCAGATACTCAAGATTCCCTGTGGAGCCCCATCTATCTAAGATCTATCAGATCTGTCAAGTGCCTGGCGTGAATCAATGAAATAGACTCTGGTTTCTCATGGAGAAGGTATCACAAGTGAGGAAGAAGGCAGCCAGAGAGTGATCTAGATTGATGTCAGTCACAGCTACTGAGACAAAAAAAATGTTTAATGTATAGCTATCAGCATGCATGAAATTATCAAAAACTTCGAACAGGTTTTTAACTCATGAGTTGCCTTGGACTAAGTGAAATCCCTAAGACTCTATAGCAAGGCTGATAATGGAATCTAGTGATTCAAGTGCCAGCAGGGGGTGCAATACACCAGCAGCAACCAACTATTTCTTATAGCCCAACTTTAATCTGGTTAGTGCAGAATGTCAGAGAGCCTACAAGGATTTGTGGATAAAAACAGCTTCCAGCTCTCTTGCAACTTCAGCTGAAGAAAAAACCCCAAATATCCTCATCATCTTGTTTCATAATAATCACATATTTTTGCACAGCAGTAAATAACTCCACCTAACTTTTCATTTCTTCTTTTCTATTACAATTCAGGCTTTGACAAAAGTGCTGGGCCTAGCAAAACATTTCATCTTAATTGCCTTATAAGTATCAGTTGGGGAGTTGAGGGAGTGGTTTGACAGATAGAGTAATACAACAACACTAATCTGATATCACATGTTTCTACTTTATCAGTGACTCAAAAAGTTGTAAAATAAGTTACATCACACAATATAGAATGAATTCTTTTCTCTACATTTCTAAGTCAGTTTTAACCCCAGCTGGCTTTCAAATATATTTTGTATCACACTTTACAAGCATCTTAAATTCAAACACTTCATTCTTTTTCAATCATAAATCAGAAAGAAGAACACCATTATGGGAAGTCAGCCCCCCCTCCCCCAGAAGGAAATGTTCTTGGAAATATTTAAAAGGCAGAATATATTTCCCTAAAGGAAAGGGTACTTTCACATGATAACCAAATCAGGTAAAAGAAACTGGCAATTGAAGTTGTATTTTGCAGCAAACAACAAAGCCTGATGGACTTAGTTTTCCTATAACAATAGAGCAAGTCAATTCAATGTAGCTTATTTTCTCTATTGACATCAGATTATGGTATTTATGATGTTCTGTAATGTTTGGACATTATTTAATTGCAAGAAGTGGGCTGATGGATTCAAACTTTATTAGTTTCCACTGAAATGAAAGTTAATTCCAATCTGAACGGAATCAAAACTACAATTAACAATAATGTACAAAATATCTCATATTTTATCAGCACTGTAAAATAGAACTGTATTGATTTTGTATGAATTCATTGAGTATGGGGTTGTAATCTCAAATCCTTATGTAAATAGTGCATGATTCTATTCTGAATCAAAGTTAAATGGAATTAAACTCATTTGAATTTTGCTGCATTTTTCTTTTTTTGATTTCAGTAATACTGAAAACCCATCTTCTTCAAGTTTGTCAAATTTCTTCAAAAATAATTATAACTATTATGACTTACCTCTCCTTCCCTTGGCCAGGGTCTCCCATTCTGGGTATATTTGCTTTGATTCTGTCGTTTCTTTTGTCCTCCATCAGCAAATTTGCACAGCAAAGGTTCTGTTGGGGCTGTAAAGACAGGAAAACCCAGTACGTGTTAGCTAGCCAATCAAAGAAAAATTCAGCCATCCGCTATCTCTTATAATATCCATTTTTAATGTTAAGCTTTTCACCTACCCTATGCATTTATTGATATTTTTTAGAAATAGCTTTATGGATATAGATATTCTAGCTTTTACAAGTAGGAAGAGATATGGAATTAGAAAATTTGTGAAAGACAACATTTTGTATCTTTAGATGCAGTATATATTACAGTATATATAGTATTTACAAAGATGAGTATAATGCAGATAATGGTTTTCCTTGTGACTATGAAATTAAAAATTGGACTTTAAAGAAGCAGGGTAGAAACAGTATTGATGCTTTTGAATATTGGTGTTAGAGACGATTCCTGAGAATAACATGCATAGCCAAATATCCAAACAAACAGATCATAAAAAAATTAATCTGGATTTCTCATTTGAGGCACAAATGACCAGGCTTAAACTATCATGATCTGGTCATTTTATAAGAAGATCCAGGCTCCTTGAGAATTCCATAATGCTGAGTAAGGTGGAAGGAAAGAGAAAAAGAATATGACCAGCAGAAAGATGGCAGAGCTTGAATACAGCCGTGATGGATGCAATGTTGGAAGAACTGAAGTGCCAGATTGAGAACTGATCATCATAGAGGTCATTAAGATCTGATGCTGATTTAATGGATAATAATAATGATAATGATAATACCTTTGTCAATAGTTTGGATTTGAATGTAATAAAAACTACTGCAGCATCAAGTTGAAAAGTTTTTTGAAAACAAATAGGTTAAGGTTTTACAGAATTTTAAAATCCAAAAAAGACAGGAATCTTGTTCATGACATGCCTAGTATTACAATTGTTGAAAAGTCTGGTTTATGGATGTTGCTATACCAGGTGATAATAGGATTGAGAAAAAACAACTGGAAATAATAAAATATTGATAAATATGGAAGAAGAAATTCATTGTTATATCAATCATGATAGGAGAACTTGAAGTCATACTAATTTGAAAATTTGCAGATGACACCAAGCTGGCAGGAATAGCCAACACTCCAGAAGATAGGCTTAAGATACAGAAGGATCTTGACAGATTTGAACATTGGACCCTATCTAAAAAATGAAATTCAATGGTGAAAAAAGTAAGGTTCTACATTTAGGCAGGAAATGTACAGGTATCGTATAGGTGGTACCTGGCTCAATAGTAGTAACTGTGAGAGGGATCTCAGAGTCCTAGAGGACAATCACTTAAATATGAGCCAGCAGTGCGCTGCAGCTGCCAAAAAAGCTAACACAGTGCTAGGCTGCATTAACAGAGGAATAGAATCATGTGAAGTGTTAATACCACTTTACAATGCCTTGGTAATGCCACACTTGGAATACTGCATCCAGTTTTGGTCACCACGATGTAAAAAAGATGTTGAGACTCTAGAAAGAGTACAGAGAAGAACAACAAAGATGATCAGGGGACTGGAAGCTAAAACATATAAAGAATGGTTGCTGGAATTGGGTATGTCTAGTTTAATGAAGAGAAGAATAAGGGGTGACATGATAGCAGTATTCCAATATCTCAGGGGTTGCCACAAAGAAGGAGTCAAGCTATTCTCCAAAGCACCTGAAGGCAAAGAGAGAAGCAACCTAGAACTAAGGAGAAATTTCCTGACAGTTAGAACAATTAAACAGTGGAACAACCTGTCTCCAGAAGCTGTGAATGCTCCAACACTGGAAGTTTTTAAGAAGAGACTGGATAACCATTTGTCTAAAATGGTATAGGGTTTCCTTCCTGAGCAGGGGGCTGGACTAGATGACCTCCAAGGTCCCTTCCAACTTTATTACTACTACTACTATTACTACTACTACTACTACTACTATTATCATCATCTTCCTTTTGTTGTTGTTTAGCTTCTAAGTCGTGTCCAACTTTTCGCAACCCCATGAACCATAGCATGCCAGGCTCCCTGTCTTCCATTGTCTCTCTGAGTTTGTCCAAATTCATGCCCACTGCATCAATGACACTATCTCACCATCTCAAAAGACTTCCTAGCTATCCGAAAATATTGAATTTATCAATCCTGAAGACCCTAATTTTACCAATGACCACCCTGCTTTGAACTGCCTAGGTTTTTAGATGCTATATTAATAATTCATGCTTCCTTCATTAAGACTTTAATTATTATGTTCCAACTAGTCTTGGACTGAATGTAATCGTAAATTTCTCACACATAATAATATTTCTTTTGTGCTCTAATAATCAGCATTCCATGCTTCAAAATGAAGAAAAATACAAATTATCATTTTGATGAAATATTGTTTCTTGTACTTAGGATACACTCAAATGATAATATCCTAAAGTTTATAACAATAGAATTGTAATTGGCTTACAATTTAAATTTAGAAAAGGTAGCTACAGAAAATTAGCCTTGGCTGATCCTAAATAAATGCAGTTGGCTTGAACTTGATCAATTTACCTAGTAAACTGATAAACATCCTAGAAGAAGACAATAGCAAACGAAGAAAACTATAGAATGTGTCCGTGTAATCATCAGGATTTAAGTTTGATTTAAAAGTTCTTTAGAAAAAATAATCTACTGGTCTGCATCTATGGATCTGTTATTATTTTAAAAAGGATAATTTTTTGAAGAAGAAATCAGCAACCATTAGCTGAAAGTAAAACTTGATGGGGAGAAATAAAGAAGAAAGTATATAGTACCTTATGGTTAGAGCTCTTGTTACAATCAGAATTTTTTTTTTTTTACCAAAATCACTGAGATTATTCTTCTAGGTCATTTGTGATTGACATATAGAAAGAATCTATACTGTTGCTCTTGTGAAGGGAGTAGAGAGTGAAAGATAAGTCTTTTAAAAGAACAGGTTTTTACTCTTTTTCTCTTTTTCAATATCTTCTGCATAGATATTTGAATAAGTGAAATAAATAAAAGATCAAAGTTATTTTTCCTCAAACTATCAAATTAACTTGGTTCCCCCTATTAAATCCTCTTAGCTTGAAACAGTTGGCATTTGACTTTCCTTATGCTTCCCAGCTGATATTCATAAAATAGTCATTACAGTTAATACTGTTCAACAAATGTTCAAGAGGTTGTTGACCAAAAATAAAAACAAATAACAAAACGCCTATTATTTGGAAAGAATCCAAATCTATTATATGCTATAACTTTTGATTTCTCTAAAGACAAATTAATGTTTAACAGTAGGGTTTACTCTCTCTTGAAATACTTCATTACTTTTCTAGTTTTCTCTCACAAGGTAAAATTATCGGTAATATAGGAATGTTTATTAGCTTTCTTTCTGTTTCATTAGAAAATGTGTCAGGGCCATGTGAAATGGATGGTTCTCTTCTTTTCTAGAACTGATTTAAAAAAAAGAGTCAAATGGTCTTATTCCTGAGAATCAGATCTTAATTCCTAAGATCTCTTGATTTTCAACCGACTTCAGAAAAAAGATTTTGAAAATGCTGTCGAAATGGTTGGAGAAATCACAAAGTAGAATGCATGGAAATCCTATATTTCATTCTCATTTAAGGAAATTCTCATCGGGTTTTTGTAAAAGAAGCTAGGTAAGCCATGTGGCGTGAGTGGGCAATTCCCTGTCACTAGGGAAGTAAGTTGTTCTGAAGATCAGCTGCCACAAAGAAGTTCAATGGAACCTTGAGAAAAGTATGGACCCAATAAAATCCACTGTGATCAAGTTTAGTAGCAGAAGCAAATACATATATGTTGAGCAGATGATCTAATTCATTATCTATTAGACATGTGTTTTATTTGTATCAACTGATGAGGAAAGTTTGTGTGTATATATATTTGTGTGTGTGTGTGTGTGTGTGTGTGTGTGTGTGTGAGAGAGAGAGAGAGAGAGAGAGAGAGAGAGAGAGAGAGAACATTCTATTTGTATTGAGTTTTGAAAATAAACACTGATTAGACTCTCTTCTAAAATATTTCACCTAAACTAAATGAAATAAACCCTTTGAGATATAATTATCAGATACCATATATTTTACAATGTCTGCAATATGATAAAAACAGGTTAAATCTATAATTTGGTTTAATAACAACAAATAACAGTTCATACAATTTAACATTATATTCTTAAATAAAATCTAATAATCAACTATTTCATTATAGTCCATACATCTTAGAGTATTATCTGACTATTTGGTCTAATTTTCTGAAGTATTTGTGCTGCTTCCAGGGCACCATTTCATAAGGGTTGAAGGAGAAACTAGGATATAGCAAAAGCAGAAAACATACCAAGTATTTTGTAGAGATGCTCTAACACAAAAAAATAATTACAAATCTAATTAGAGGTAACTTGAAATGGAAAAGTCTTTAATCGTTACCTAAATGACTGCACAGTAGGAATTAGATGAATGTTTATAAGACAACCTTTCACAGTATTGGTTATCATCCAAAGTTTTTTAAAATAGAATCTTCCATATTCATTTTAAACAGCTTTGGCTGTGCCTTAGAACAATATTAAACAAAAGAAATCAGGCACAAGGGAAAATGATGTAACAATTTTGCCCTTCTCAACAGCTATTGATGCCATCAATCATGGCATTTTTGAAAGATTATCTAGATACTTGAAGGTTCTGAATGGAAATGTTCTATTTGTATAGCTGATTATTCTTCTATAAAAAAGCAGATACTTCAAAGTATAAATTGGCATTTATATAAACATTGACATATATTATTCGGGATGATATGCATTATTTGAGAATATGGACAATCTGAAAATGTTACATTCAGCTACTCTTCTTTTTTATTTAATTGGTGTTTTGGAACCAATAAACTAACCTTTAATTCAAATAACTGAGCTATAGCTTTCTGGATGGTTTTGCTCCCAGCTAAAAAAATATTCAACATGTATTGGATGATTGCATTCCATTTAGAGAATCAAATTTACAATCTCTGGCATATGTCCAGCACTGACATTAGAAGCATGCATTGTCTCACTGAATTAGAATCTTCTTCTCTGCTT